GGTTGGGACAGAGATATTTTCCATTTCCTCAGCTGCTGCAATAACAAGGTGTATGTTCTGAAGTGCCTCTCGTGCCCCTTTTAAACACAGCCTCGTAGCACGATGAATCAGTTGCCTTGACTTGTTTACTAATTTTTTTTGTGGGATTAAATTCAGGAATCTTACTGGGTTTTCTTCCCCTTTTATTAAGCAGTTATTGACATTTTAAAAACATTACACAGTGTTGCTAGGCAAACATACAGTAGGGCCTATTCTGCAGTTCATAGTGTTGTCGTTAGTCTGGGTTCTCAGTTCTGTTTGATTTGCTTATAAGTTAATTAGCTCTGACGTTTCACTTTAGCTATAGTTAGATCCACTGTGTTGTAAACATAATTGAGATGTATTAGGAAAGATATTTTATTCACCTGTGAATGGCATTCTGTTTGCAGACATAACAGCTGAATCTTATAGGAAGCAGTTGCTGATGTGAATTCTCCTACAGCTCTGCATATACTCAGTAGAGTCAGTTGACCAACCAGTTACCAAGAGATAATTTAACACAGTGTGCAGGCAAACCATTTCATAAGCTAGTTACCTGTTTCAAACAATGATGGCACCATTTAACAAGACAGTGCAGATAACTAGCTCACCCAGATAGGTCAGTGACCACCTAGAAAATATCCCTCAGCATTCATTCATGGTCAAGCTATACAAAGGAGGGGGCTTCTACTGACTTAGTAGAGAGCCAGCCTTAGGGTTCGGAGCACCCTTGATAACAAATCCCTCTTTGTGTTTTTTCTCCAGTCACAGCTTTTGTTGTCCAGCTTGGGGTCTGCACTACAGACATCACCCTATCTTTCTCTCACCCCGGCTGCCACTGTACAGTTCCTTTCCTAGGTCTGAGCAAGATAATATACACAGCCTTACAATGTGTCTTCAGAAAATGGCAAAAGTGTTCAGGCAGTAATTTTTAGATTGGACATACTAGAATCATAAAAAGTAATTGATAGTTGATGCTCATTAGTAGTTTCTCAATAATAGTATGCACCATCTCAGTAACAGGTGCATAGCAGAGAAGAAACCCAAACTAATATGATTTCTCTGCTCTGCAGTGTCGGGATCTTTTGTTTTAAAAAAAAAGGAGGAGGAGGAGCTAGGGCAGCCAGAAAGGATTTGAGTTGGAGCTTGGATTCTTAGGTCTATATGATGAAAGTGTTCCTATACTCTTTAAAAAAAAAACCTAGAATATAAAGTGTGGCTTTTTGAGACTGCTGTGGTGACTTGAAGCTTCACCTCATGGACTGAATTCTCCTCCTACATAGATGGAAGTTTTTCACTAAATGCAGACCCTCTCATTAAACTGCAGCAATGGGGAAAAGCCGTACCAGGTGGGATTTTGCCTTCGATGCAAAGTGCGGGGCACTTTCAGGTCTGACAGCACTAATCAAATAAGGTTTCACAAGTTTTGTAAAAATTAGTTTTGTTTGGTACAGCTGTTTGTGTTACTAAATCAAAACACCTGGTTCAAATTATTGGCACTCTTTTTTCTGGGTCCCTCCAATATGGATTGAAGATATTTGATTGTCATCTTCGTGCAATATAAAAACATTTAAAGTTGAATGACAAATTCTTCATCTTGGATGTGAAAGTTTTTTCCATTCCTGCCACAAAATCCTAAGTACTTAGAATTGTAGTTATCCCTAGTGTGCCTATCCAGGCCTCTGTTCAACAATGCCTCCTGAATACATTAGACATGTTGAAAAACAAATATGAAGCCATTTGAAGCTTCAAAAATCTGAGGTATCCAATGCCTTAAAGTTTATCCAGAAATTGACAATTTGCCATCAGTAGAACTGCCAACCAGACAAAAAAGAGATACTATTTTTGCTTTCCTCCTTCTGGTCCTTGTACTACCTTTTTACCATCCAGTTGGTTCTATGTCGGCAGGAGGCTTCTTCTGAGAAAACAGCTGTAGAGACCATATGACAGTCATGGTTTCATGGACACCATTTTCCCCTCACTTTTCTTGGTCACTTCAGTTACTATTCGTAAGAACAATAAATGTGAAGCACAAACATAAATAGTGCAAAATTATCAAAAATATGTTTATGTTTCACATTTATTGTTTTTAAGAATTGGCTCTCAGATTTGTATTTATTTAACCTTCCTGGTTCTTAATTCAATTATTTTGGGTTAAGTTTATTTGTTCCTCTTCTTTCTTCTCTTCAGTTAGTAACCACTGGTATTAAGGTTGCTTTTTTTAAATTCAATGAATTTGTTTTAATCACTTTATTTATTTTGAAGCATGTACGCTTCCGCACACAATAACTCTCAAGGCAGCTCCCATTACAATAGTAAAAAAAAATAAAAGGAGGAATTACCATACCTGCCTCAGCAGATACATCAATGAGGGGAAAAAACCAAAACCTTCCAGGGTAAGGCACAGCATTAAAAAGAGACATGTGGTAGCCATTTCTGTATTCCAGATGGAAGGAGGATCTATAAGATCATGTCTCCAGTGTATTTCTCTAGTGAGTGCTCCCTTCTCATTTGGTGGCCAAAGTATTTGAGCTTCATTTTCATTATCTGGCCTTCCAGGGAACAGTCAGGGTTGATTTCTTTTAGGATTGACTGATTTGATCTTCTTGCAGTCCAAGGGACTCTCAAGAGTCTTCTCCAGCACCATAGTTCAAAAGAATCTATTCTTCGGCGCTCGGCCTTCCTTATAGTCCAACTCTCGCAGCCATACATGACTACTGGGAATACCATTGCTTTGACCATGCAGACTTTTGTTGGCAGGGTGATGTCTCTACTTTTTATCATGCTGTTTAGGTTTGCCATCGCTTTCCTCCCAAGGAGCAGGCATCTTTTAATTTCATGGCTCCCATTACAATAGGTAAAAAAAAAGGAGGAATTACCATATCTGCCTCAGCAGATACATCAATGAGGGAAAAAACCAAAACCTTCCAGGGTAAGGCACAACATTCAAAAGAGACATGTGGTAGCCATTTCTGTATTCCAGATGGAAGGAGGATCTATAAGATCATGTCTCCAGTTTATTTCAAAGAAACATCCTAAATCTCTCACAGCATTTTAACCTCTTTTTTCCCTTTGATCTAAAATGAGTTCTTTTCGCACATTACAAACTTCCTTATTTTGAAAACTAGCCAAGTATCAGACAGCAGGGGTGGGGTGTGTGAAAGACAGAGCATCACTTGCCCCAGAGTCCCTATCTATACCTTGTGGCTAATAGCCACTGATGGACCTCTGCTCCATATGCTTATCTAATTCCCTTTTGAAGCCATCCATGCTTGTAGCCACCACCACTTCCTGTGGCAGTGAATTCCAAGTGTTAATCACTCTTTGGGTGAAGGTGCAGCTAGACAAATAATAAAAGCCCCCAAATAATTAGGAACTCTCAAGTTCTTTCTGTTTGATGTCCAGATTTCCAGTCAAATACATCATAGCACAGTTATGTCTGGAATTAACAAGTGGATAGTTTAAAGTTCACTGCCAAGCACACCGACCCGAGCACAAGCCAAGAAATGAGCAAGGGGCGGGCACTTTGCATTGTGTCTTTCCCAGGCAGGCTGCCCTCCTGTATAAGGAGAAATTTGACTTTCCATCGTATAAACTGTACAGGAACATATGAGAAGTGGTCCTAGAATGTGAAGAATTCACATACAGGGAAAGGTGGTGGTTTCAAGATAACAATCCTGACTCACTCAGAGCAAAAATCTCTGATCATCTGGAGAAGTCCTGAATACCATACTCTGCATGACGTGCTCTGCGCACACACAGTATCTCGAGAGGCACTTGAGTGTGATTACTGCAGACAGATTTTTAATGTACCTTATTTTAAGATACATATTACTTTCTTTCCTTCCCTGTGCCATAGAGAAAAATGGAAGTTTGTTATTGTTATAGTTTTGGCATTTCTCTTTTTCTCTGCACTGGGTGTTAATTCTCTGATCTGGTTCCTGTGTCAGTCAACAGTTTCTTTTGTGTGACTGCAATTAGTATAGGCAGTGTATTTATTGTCTCTTGTTCCAGATTTTAATTTAAAAATAGATTATGGTATATGCAGATATTTTGTGGAAACTCGGGTTTTGGAAAGCTGAATATTACTTTCATCACAGCTTTTTTTAAAAAACTTGTCTTCTGTGAAACCCCACATCTGGGCCCATCAACTCCTTCCTCTCCATACCTACCCTGAAACGGCCTCTTACATAAGCATCCTGTTCTGTGTTGGGGGTTTTGCCCTGCACTGGAGCAGTAGCACTTCTCTCTGTGTTCTAAACTCATGTCACTTAAGCTTTGCTCCTGCTCCGAACTGGACCATTAGTTAATTGGATCACCCTAATTTGGATGACCTTTATTGCACTGATTTTCCCCAAGGAAACCTATTGTAAAGCTAACAGGTTATCCCTTTAGCCACAGAGCCAAAGAAATGCCCATCACAACCCATACAAAAAAGCAATAATCCCGAGTGCTTTGGTCCTCCTGCATTCATGGCACAGCTGGTATCTGTTTCCCCAACCTGTTGCCACCAGCCAAGCATACTGCATGTCCATCTGCATCCAAGACTCCCACACTGGAATGAGTTGCTGGGAGAGATGCTGCTGAAATTAGTGAGCAGAAGTGTGCCGAATGGGAAGCATACAGCAAAAACAGATTAAAGTCAGAAAAAGGAACTGAGAAGTGGAATGCAGAGAAACAGAGTAGCTGAGAAATGGTTGCAGAGAGGGCCCTATAGCTAGGGAATTGGTGGGTGGGGTGGGGACAGAGGTGTTTGCAGCCCTGAACTGATGTAGAAAGAAGCAGACAGCTTGGACTATGAACCTAAGAAGTGCCCTGCTGGATCACACCAATGTTTCATCTAGTCCAGCTTCAGGATTCAGATTTATGATCTTTTAATGTAATTTATTTTCACACACATTCTAGCATCCTATTTGTAAACTTTTACAGACGGATTATAGCATTGTTCCTCTCCCCCCCCCTTTTTTTTTTCTTTTAAATAGAACAAGTATCCTAACATTGTAGCACTACCTGAAGGGTTATTTGGAGACTGCATGATTTTGAAGAACACTGAACTTCCAGGGTAAGGCAACCTTGACACATTGATGCAAGACATGGGTAAGATGTCAAACCGAAAGTAGCATTACAGTGCTGTTGACATCTAGACAGAATAGATGGTAGCTTTTCAACACAAAACAATATCATTTTTAGGGTTTCTTGCCCTTGGAAATGATCTGTGAAATGGATTGTGATACGAATACTCTCAAATCAAGTAGGGATATTGAAACTGAAACACCAAATCTTAACCACTGGTTACATGCCCTAACCCTGCACATTCAACAGCCTCAGCCATGGTATAGTGGTTAAGTATTGTACAACAAAAGTTCAAATCCCCAAACAGCCATGGAGCTTATTGGGAACCTTGAAACAGTCATTTTCTCCCAGCCTAATCTTCCTCACAAGGTTGCTGTAAAATAAAATGGAGGAAGGAAAAAAAAATCATGTATGCCATCCTGGCCTCCTTGGAGGAAGGGTGGCAAAACAATCAAAATCATCTGATGTTCACATATAGCAGGTAAAGTTTTCCTAGACGCAAGCAGCAATCCTTGCCCTCCATTAGCCACACATAGAATCATAGAGTTGGAAGGGACCTATAGGGACATCTAATCCAACCCCCTGCACAATTAAGGAAGTTCACAAATACCTTCTCCAAACTGACCTAGAGAAAAATTGCTTCCTGATCCCAAAGTGGCAATCAGCATTTTCCTGGGTGTGTAAGAAAGGGCCACGAGAACTAAGCGCTGAGGCAACCCTTCCTGCCTCCCTCTCATGATCTGTCTAAGTTCACAGAATAGGCATTGCTGTCAGATAGCCATCTAGCTTCTGTTTAAAAACCTCCAAAGGAGAGCCCACCACTTCTTGAGGAAGCCTGTTCCACTGAGGAACCACTCTGTCAGGAAGTTCTTCCTAATGTTTATCTGAAAAAACTTTTTGATTTAATTTCAAACCATTGGTTCTGGTCCAACCTTCTAGGGCAACAGAAAACAACTCCACACCATGCTCTATATGACAGCCCTTCAGGTACTTGAAGATGGTTATCATATCACCTCTCAGTCGTCTCCTCTCTAGGCTAAACATATTTCCTTCAACCTCTCCTCATAGGACTTGGTCTCCAGACCCCTCACCATCTTCATTGCCCTCCTGTGGACACATTCCGGCTTTCCTCATAGGACTTGGTCTCCAGACCCCTCACCATCTTCATTGCCCTCCTGTGGACACATTCCAGCTTGTCTATAACCTTCTTAAATTGTGATGCCCAAAACTGAACACAATACTCTAGCTGAGGTCTAACCAGAGCAGAGTCAAGCGATACCATCACTTCATGTGATCTGGACACTATAATTCTGTTGATACAGCCCCAAATCACATTTGCCTTTTTAGCTACCACATCACACTGCTGACTCAAGTTCAGTGTATGGTCTAAGATCCCTGGATCTTTTTCACACATACTACTGCCAAGACAAGTCTTCCCCATCCTATAATTATGCATTTGATTTTTCCTACCTAAATGCAGAACTTTACATTTATTCCCATTGAAATTCATTTTATTTGTTTTAGCCCAGTTTTCCAGCCAGTCAAGATGATCCTGTAGCCTGACCGTCTTCTACTGTATTTGCTGCCCTTCCCAATTTAGTATCATCTGCAAATTTAATAAGCATTCCCTCTATTCCTTCATCCAAATCATTGATAAAGATGTTGAACAGGTCCCAGGACAGATCCTTGAGGCACTCCACTTGTCACTCCTCTCCAAAAGAATGAGGAACCATTCATAAGCACTCTTTGGGTGTGATCCTAGGCTGCAACTCCCTTCCCTCATCATGTGTTCTGTTTTTGCCATGTTGAGCATCTTCAGCATTCTTTCCTAGAGTCAGAAAAGAGACATCCACCAAGCTTTAGAAAGCATGACAGCATTTTTTTCAAACTAGGAAGACAGATGAGAAACACAGCTCTCTCACTCCCAAGTTCTTTAGTGCCCCCAACATTTCTATAGTAGGCAGAGGGTTCTTTTAACCAAGGGGGGGGGGGTGCACTTCCCTTACCTAAAGTAAAAAGAGTTGATTCAGCTGCCTCTCTTCATTTCATAGTCAGAAGCCAAAGCTCAGAGGTCCACACCACTCTGGAATTGTGGCAGGAATAAGGGTGGCTCTCTAAAGGCAAAGGCTGACCTTACTTCTGTAGCAAACAATTAAACAAGCTTGTCTCTTTCCAGACAGGAAGAAAAGCAAGAGACCTCTATTGCCATGAGTGACATTTCATGATGGCAAGTAAAAAGCTGGAGCTTTCTAATGAGCATTATCACTCTGATAAATTATCAGTCTAATTTCTGCTGCAGTTAAAAAAAATGGTGCTGTATCTTTTATCATATGACTGAAACTATAGACTTGGTGAATTTTGCAATGAAAGCCCCTATTTGTTTTCTAATGAGCATGATCACTCTAAGTTATCAGTCTAATTTCTGCTGCAGTTAAGAAAAATGGTGCTGTATCTGTTATCATATGACTGAAACTATAGACTTGGGTGAATTTTGCAATGAAAGCCCCTATTTTAATCTGTGTCCTTAATAGGACTGTGTGTTAAACTGCCCCTGCACAGCAGTTTTTTCCTCCAGATGGTAACTCCAGTACTTCCTTGAAAAGACAGAGTGGTGGAGGGGGAATAATTAGAAAATCCTAAAGATACCCAGACAAACTCTTCATACAGCTGGCTGTGCTGACTATCTTGCAGGAAGGGAGGAAGAAAACATCAACATATGTTGAATCAGTAGCAGTCAATTCAGTCCTGCTAGCCTCATTAAGGATGCTGCTTTAGCCCTCTAACTTTTAATACTGTTTGCCTTTTAGATTTGAGCTAATGATTGTTTGGAAGATACATGTAGACAAAGATGGAAAAGTTGTGCCAGTTCTGGATTTCCTGAGTAAGATCCCAATGCCAGGTATGTATGTATGTATGTATGTATGTATGTATGTATGTATGTATGTATGTATGTATGTATGTATGTTTCACCCCTTGCCACAGCCATTTAATGGACATACCTTCATATATGCTAAAGGTTCCTTTAAATAGGAGACTGCTATCCCATAGGTGATAGCATGGGAAATATCCTATACCCAAGCGCCTCTTATTTCAAGAAGAAATTAGTGGGGGGGGGGTTTAATGTTCAAAGCTGCATAGAAGCCCTCTGTTAGGACCAAGAGAACAGCTCTCATACTATCCAACCTCTTCCTCTGCTCCCCCCTTCCCCCACTGGATTTTTTAAAAACACAAGTGTGCTCTAGTAATGTGCAATTTCATGTCCCCCAGCAATAGTGTGTGCACTTGTTAGTTTACATACAGCTGTTGTATGTATGCAAGATGAAACTTGTTTTCTTCCTGAAAACCCAGACATTCTAAATATTACTGGAGTGCATGATGAGCAGGTATTGAGGACTGCAACATTAGACTACTTAAAATGATTAGAAATTTAAGTTCAGCTGTTTAACACCCTACTTCTGTCCCCCCGTTACAGTTCTGGAAAACAAGACGTTTGCATCAGATATGCCGCACTGGTTCAGAAGCTTGCTGCATGTACTTGGGATAGAGGCTTCCATTGAAGCTGTGATCAAGTCACTTTGCAGGGGTAAATGAATACTGGGATAATGACAAGTTATGCATCTATAGTTTTATTGAATATAAACATTAAGTTATTTTCCATTTTGAAACCATACCCATAAAACATGCTATCTGTACAATTATGGCACATTTATATATAAATTGTCGTGACAAATAAATACAGCCTTTTAAATACAAAATGCCAAATAAAATAGATACAAGTAGAATGAGTTTCAGTCAAAAATTTAACTCTGAATCAATGTACCAAAGTGGTTTTCTTTCTGTCCATAGTATTTCCTGGAACCTCTTAAAATCTACTGATAAATTCAAGTCTATAAAAAGTGGCAGTTTCAGTTCACAGCTGTGTATGTAACAGTGATTTTCTGAAAGACAGTGATACTGAAAATCACAAGTTTCTAATGAAATCAAGGTTAAGATACAAAAAAAAGTGATCCAATACAGTAGCACAGCTATACCTTCTCCCACGGTCTGTAATTGAAGGCAAATATGTGTTTAACATACCTCTCTTCTAAAACAATTGTAATTTTACAACGGATCAATAAACATAAGTTACAATGTACATAATGCAGTGTGTTTTGTCTCAGGAGAACTGCCCATAAAAGACAGCTATCCAAAGCACTGACACCCCCCCCAAAAAAATAAGACTTCTCCCAGGTGTGCTACCCTCTTGTTTCCAGGCTCAGATCTACTAGGTGATCCTTATTTTCACAAATTTAGCTCTTGTGTAGTCATGTCACATTTCCCACTACTCTCTGAAAGTGCTGCAGTAATCATTGCATGAAGCAAACTATGTTTTTCAACTGCCGGCACCTAGTCATCAGGTAAATAACTGACAGCACCTTTAAAATAGCGTTTTAACTCAGTGAGCTCCCTATCCCAAGATGATTACATGTAAAGTCTGCCCTACTTCTGGCCATCTATGTTTTTTCATCTGGAATATGAATCTAGTGCACAGCACTGCTGTAATACACAGCACCCCAAAGGCTTCATTTCCTTGTTCTGCCTGACTAAGGGAAAGACAGGATGGCCAGTCTTCTCAGACAAGCAGTACACATTAAAAGACAGCCCTACCCAAACAAGACAGCATCTGAATACTACAGACAGCTGCATACTCATAGACAACTAATAAATGGAATCAGCCAACCAACAGGTAGGTGTGGGTTTACTCGATTCAACCCACTCCTTCAGTTGTATTTCAGAGATGTCCCCTAAACTGCATCTGGGCTACTTGACAGCCAGTCAATTCAGGTCTACAGTCCCTACAATCAAATTTTATAATTAAATGGGGAAGATACAAGAATAAGTCAAAATCTGAGAACTGATTGGGGGGGGCACCAAATATCTACATAAAATACACTATTATGAAAGGGGTTAAAAATGACCTACATTCTGAATTGCCACTACATTTCACATTACTATAGCAGCTTCTGGGTGTCCAGGAAATCCGCATGTGGACAGAGACATATATGGAGGAAAGTCAGATCAATGATGACATGAAAAAGGCTATAACGTCCACCACTAAAGATCAAGTCTGAAACACAGACGCTCAGTCGGGATTGTTCTTGATCTGACTGAAGCAACTCTAAATCTCAAGTTGCCCCATGATGGAGTCCCTCACCCACTTACAGTAAGGTTTTTACCAACTTGCCAGACAATATCAAAGATTTTTCCTATTCCACAATAATGGAATTTCAAAGATTCAGCAGAACAGAAACATTCCTACAGGCACCACAAGCTCAGCCTCCTGTCACTATACAGCAGCAAGGACTTCTCTCCACCTATTGCAGAAAGAAAATCAGCAAATGCTCCCTACACTCTGCCAAGCCTGAGGCATGCTTTCCTATTGTGGTACACAAGATATGGCAAAGGGTGGTTATATATACTTCTAGAGAAATATGTCCCTTAATGCCTATTTAATAAGAGGTAAGTTTCAATACACAGCTTACTCCATGTTATGTTTGACTACTACTGAGGTTCCCGGAGGTTTTTAATGTCTAAAATGAATCTTTAAGGGAACTACAAGTAGAGGAAGAGCAAGCCTATCACTCAGCAAAATTTAAAGCCAGCATTTAACATTATGAAGTCACTGCCTTTCAGTACAGTAAAGACTTGCTGTACTGGATGGTGTGTCAGTGAAAGTGCATATTTTGGGTGGATTTTAAAAACACTCAGAAGTTCTAGGGTGGTTTAGTGAGCAAACTTGCTGAAATTTTAATAGCAACACCTATTGTATAAGAGCTAGGTTATTTAGATGATTTCTCTAAGTAATGAAATCAAGGTCACTTTCCTCCATACCCATCAATAAATGGTCTCTTGTTTGGCATGTGTATTTGCCTTTTTTTTTTCTAAATCACTTTCCAGAGTAGCCACCACTGCCATCACTTTGGTTGCTTCCCAGAGGGCAGAGTTTTCTAACAAGCCAATGAAAAAATATTTCTGCTAATGTGCCAGCTGCAATGTAGGCAGCACCACATGTCCACTCATATAGAGAGGTTCAGAGATGCAGCAGCAAAATGCCTCCCAGAAACTCTGGCTCCCTGCACTGAAGTAGTAAGTCAAAAGCATTCACATCTGTGCTTCATAGTTGTCATTTGGTTAAACCATCTCTGCTCCCCCGATATCAGTAGATGTAGGGTATGACACATGTCTCGTTTTATGATGAATGCATTCCTTCAAGGTTACAAACTGAAAAGGTGGATTTAGTGGTATTCTGTGTTCCTGGAAGGCATACAAACGTAAAGCACAAATGAAACCAGAAGAAAACCAATGTAACTGAATCCTTCCTCTCTGTGCTCACAAATCTAGCTAGTTACATTTTGTGGAGAACTAGTGTGCAGTTTTCATTCTCTTTCAAGAGACCAGTCATCACAGAGTCATCTTTGGCCTGTGTGTTTTTCAAATAATAGTTTACTATCTTCCCATCCAGTCTGTACTGATGGTGAATGCTTTCATATGGCTTAAGATCCAAGTCCAAAACTGAGAGTGAAAAGGTGAATCTTGATTTTGATGTTGGAACCACCAGCCTCTGCTCAGAACTGTAAATCAAAAGAAGATTGAATTTAGTAAAGCAATACGCAATTTATCTCCCCTGCCTTCAAAAGCAATCCAACATTGGTGTTCATCTGCTATACATGATAAAAATCTACCCATTACCTAATCATGAGCCAGACAGACTTCAGCTGATGCTGCATTTGTCAAGTAATTGTGGTCTTAAGGAAAATACAGCTCTTTCAATCCAAGATGTGGTACACATTTTTTTTTGCTCATGTCTCTCTTTTCCCTATAAGTTTCCACTCAATCTGTGCCAAACCTTCCTAAATTACTATACCACCAGTACTGCTGTGTGAATGAATTACACTGAAACATCAGCCATCTGTTTCACTCTAAGCTACTAGTTAAATTTCTACCTAAATTGTATCCCATCTTCTGAGAAACAGAAAAACTGAGAAGAACGGCTACCATCACTCCTTTTAACCAAGATATGTATGTCTTAAACCTGAACAAATATTCCTGGACAGGAATTGATATATCAACA